AAACCAGCTCAGCACTAAAAGTCAGAAAGACTTTAAAAAGTGAGAATTTACAATGTCTATAGAACTTGTCTATAGAAATTCAACTTCACACTGTTTGACATAACTTTAGGTTTTAGTATAATTTTGCCCAAGCTTAAAAACTGAACTGTGTCACCTATAACACACTCAAGTCAACTTTTAACTTTCTAATATTTAAGTGTCTCTGAGATGTCCCCTTTTCTTTGTTCCATCATAGTCAGTGTTCAGTTTCATCAACACTTTTATTTAATAAATCCTGCTTTCTTTTCAAAAGCAGCAAGCCCTGATATAATTTGATACTCTACGTCCTCAATTTTCAGTACTCTTACTCCTTTATATTTTTGCAAAATCCTTCCAACCACCTGACATTACTACAAGGAATTGTGACTATGAAAGCAATAGTAAATCCAGTTGGACAATGGATGAAACTGTTATTTGCAGGATTATATAACATCTGTGAACCCAAGAAGCAATGTGGTTTACTGATCCTTAGTACAACTATTTTTTAGAACTGAGTTTTTAAAATCTCTAAATTACAACAATATATCACATACTCTAGCTAAAGCAGAATGAATTCCATTGTGCAATCTACATATTCTTTGATAAAAATAGTTTTGATACAAAAAAGACCTACTGGTGCATCTCTTAAACCATTAAATACTGGATACTGAGGAAACCTTCATGAAGTTTTGCCTTCATGTTTCTCTTACATTTCTGACACTGTACATAACATACACCATACAGATCTTATATGTGTCTTTTAACAAAATGCTGAATCAGGTTCTGAGAGGTCTATTCCAACTTTATTTTAACCTACTTAAACTTTAACTCAATTTTTCTTAAATACCCTCAATATGCCAAGAAAGATACAACAAGTGATCATGATTTCTAAAATTGAAAATTACCTTATCATTAAGGCTTCACATTTTTGGGGGAAATAAGGTTAATTTCATTAACTTTCATTGAAATACTTTTTCCAGTTTTTAAAACAATACTGTGTTCACTCTGTTCCACCTGTATAATACCATGTTTGCTGCAGGGACAAGGTAGATGATTATCTGAGTTCTCTCTTTTTCATACTTTCAGTTTATGTGTTGATTCTTTAAAATAGCTGTAAAAACTGGTAGGACTACCCCTGCTAGAATATTAAGTCTACAAACTCCATTTTCTGTGACCATTAAAATATCATCTAGATATCCTGTAAATTCAGGAATTTTTTTTAAATGATGGACTCTGACAAAAGTGCCTCAGAAGGTAAAAATTCTGAAACCACATAATGATGCTGTTTAAAAGAAAAATTTTAGTCTAAAATTAAGTTACAGCAGTCATTTAAAGCATAGATATTGTAGAGAAACCTGATAATCTACGTCACTTATTTCCTCTTGGATCACAGAAGTTTGGGACATCGCCCCTTACCAAGTCTCCCCAAACAGAAACAGAGTCCTCTGGTTCTGTTTCCAAGAAGTACCTGAAAAGTACACACATGTGTATGTGCGCGCACACACACACACACACACACACACACACACACACTCTCCCTCTCTCCCTCTCTCTCTCTCTCTCTCTCAGCCCTGAAAAGCCCTAGAGCCTTCATCTGTTGTCACTTTCATTTCAAAAGAAGCTGAATGCAGAACGGTTAGTTCAAACTAATTCCATGGGCTTGTCACTCCTGCCAGTACTCTGGGTTAAGAAATGTTCCAGGCCTGACTACTCTGACCACTCAGATGTCTGGTAAAACATTCTTATTAGAGGGCTCCCAACTCATCACACTCCAGAGGGGAACTGTGAAATGGTGACAGTTAAACATTTCAGAGCAATAAAACATAGCCTCTGCCTATTTAAAGCTCTTAGGAAAACATTAAACAATAGCTCTTTTTAGTTCTCTGGACAATCCTGACTGGGTATACAGAAATGAGACTTTTTTTTAAACAAGAAAGTCCCTCTCTTCTTAGATGTCTGGAAACAAACTCACAGAATAATGGAAGGGATGGGGGGAGAGGAACTTGCCTCAAGGAATTCAGATTAGAGATCAGCCCCAGGGGAAAAAAAATCTAATTCTGATAGCATTTACAGTTTGTTTGTTTTCCCAGCTGACACAGTATTAAACCCAAACACATATATGAATTTGTAGGTAAATAAAAGAAGAGGAATCCAGAAAATAGACTCAAGAGTGAGAGCAGTTTCACAGCACAAACCATTATGAAAGATGGGCAAATAGCATCGAGTAATAAAAAATAAACTACACTAAATGATAGTCTTCCCACAAAATCCAACATAAATAGGTTGTAGTACCCTTTCAAAGATACCTGAAAGTACCCAAATCCTTTATATAAAATCACACACAAATAGCCGGGTGTGGTGGCACACTCCTGTGATCCCAGCACTTGGGAGGCTGAGGCAGGAGGACTGCTGTGAGTTCAAGACCAGCCTGGGCTACATAGTGAGTTCAAGGGCAGTCTCAACTACGTAGTGAGACTCTGTCACACACACAAACACAGAAAAGAAAAGAAAAAAAACTAAAATCTCTCTCTCGCTCTCTCTCTCTCTCTCTCTCTCTCACACACACACACACACACACACACACACACCACACACACACACGTACGCACATGATGTAATCAAATAGTACAGTGAATGCTTAAATTTCTAAAAATTATTAATAGCAAAAGACACATTGTCAATTATCTCCCTCAAAATATCTTTCTTCTCTTTGAACACATTTATCTCACCATTTTTTTCCATTTTCTTAAACAGTTCTGGAAGTCTTCTTTCATGTCTTTAGTTGCAATGTCAGGGCTGCTTGATGACCTGAACCAAAAAGTGGCCAGACAGTAGCCAGAAAAATAGGACAAATGTGTTCAAGGGAGGGGAAACTTTTTGAGGGGATTAGCAGCAATGTGTCTTCCACTGCAATATAGTTTTTAAAAACTTTAAGCATTTACTGTGTATTTCAATCAACATGTGTATATTTGCATACACACAACATGTACATATATACATATGTTATGTATATACACACATGTACATGTACAAAAACACACACACACTTTTTCGAGGAACTGGTAATTGAACTTGAGTCCTTTTCCATCTAGGCAAGCATTCTACCACTTAGCTACACCCCTAGCTCTTCTCTATACACTGCATTATTTTCATGTTAATTATAATAAGCAATACAACATAGATTCTATATAAATAATTATTCTACTAAATTATTTAAAGAAATATGGCAAGAAAAAAATTTGTATATCTGCAGACATAGTAATTCTAGGTCTAACCATACTTTCCATCTGCCACAGTTCAATCTGCAGAAACAGAACTCACAGGTAAAGAGTTCAGGCCTTATATTAAAACATGCAGAGGGCCAGTGATTTAGGTCAGGGGCACCATGCCTGCCTTGCAAGCACAAGGTCCTGAGTTCGATCCCTGGTACAGGGCGGGGTGAGAGGTGGGATGAGAGATATATACAAATATGCACAAATACACACAAAGGAAATACAGTAAACAGGGCTTTCTTTCAGCTCTATATAATAGCTTTCATTTTACACTTACATATCCAAAGATAAGAATTGCTTAGTGAAACAAAATAGGCTATTTTAATCATGAACTGACAATATTCATAAATAGCAAGGCAATTTTCTTCTTAAATTTGAATTTTCTTGCCCCACAGCCCCTAACATCTAAATTCTCTGCCACAGAAATTCATACCTGCATTTTAAAAGCATAAGCAGGAGTTACCACCTGGTTTGTCACTCAGGCTGCTCATACTGGAGCTTTCATTTTGGGGCACCTTTGAAGACAGAGTGATATTTAATGCTGAATATAAGCAGTCTTTTCATCTTACAATGTAGAGTAATTGCTTCCCACTTTAGAATTATAGCCTGAGTTATCATCTCTGACTTGCATTCTAAGCACCAGGGCCAGCATGGGAAAAACTGACAAAGAATGTTATGGGCTTGCTAAAGGGAGTGAGAACTTTGCTAAATGCCAAGAAGAAATCATGGGCAGTCAGACATAGAACAATGAGATATAGCATGAGAAACGGCACATATTTACTGCGCATTGGTTCTAGGAAATGATTTCTACTAAATGTCACTGGAATACAGAAATCCTTCTCAGCATCAAACATAACAGATAAAAATCATAGCATGCGTGGTTTTTATGAATGAATGGATGGACAAATGTATGGACAGATTTTAGGAAAGCAGTATTTTTCTGAACATTACTATTTACAGAATACTCTCAAGGCAGAAGATACAAAGTGCCATCTAGATTGTAAGAGCTGAACTGAAGCAACCAATGCTCTCAGAATTATTATCGAGTTGGGCTCAAATAGGCCATTCAAACTAGACTAAAGTAATACAGTTGAAAATCCTTTCAAGCCTGGCTTCTGTAGGCAGAAAATATAATTAAAAAAGGAAGTAGGAGGAATAGGCCAAAGCCCAATGAACAAATTATCTTAGGCGTTTTCCATCCTGCGTCATTGAGGAAACACATGAATATATGAAAGAAACAACAGGCTACAACAGGCCTAAATCTAATTAGAATGTCTTGATATATAATATAAAATGCATTTTGAAAAGACAGGCATGTAAAGTCCATTTCAACATCGAAAATACTGTTCTTATTCAAATATAAACCTGTGTTCCTTTAAATCTTAATAGAGTTTACAAAACTTATATATATATTAAATATATAAAATATATTTCTAAATATAAATATATAATATATATGAATATAAATTTATATATATTAGAACTATATATAAATTAAGCCGGGCGTGGTGGCGCACGCCTGTAATCCCAGCACTAGGGAAGCTGAGGCTGGAGGATCGCTGTGAGTTCAAAACCAGCCTGGACTATACAGTGAGTTCCAGGTCAGTCTCAACTACATAGTAAACCCTGTGTCAAAAAAACAAACAAACAAACAAACAAAAAAGAAAAGAAAAAACTATAAATTATCCAATTATATAAATAAACCCTTACCTTGGCTTGTTTATTGTTAGCTTCTCTTCTGGCATCCCTTTCTTTCAGTCTTTTTTCCTACAGGAAGAGGTAGGAAATTAGTAACCATAGCCTGATATTTATTGTTTAAAAAATAAATACAACAGTTTACACAGTTTTACTCAGTTTTACTTTTAAAAGTCAACTGATACGTGACATTTGTTTTTCAAGAAATTTTACTGAGTACGCACTAAGGGACTGGTACAAGTATAATCATTAACTATGTGTTAGATCTGGAATGAAATGCCAATTCCTATCATTTCCTAGCTTTTGAGCTACTTATGCTTTCTACTTCAATATAAATTGACAGTAATAGGAGCACACACTTATTAAGGCTAATAAAACAATTACAGCCTAATATACGGAAGTGCTTAGCACAATGCCTGACACTGTATATGAAGGTACACAGTGTCAGCTTTTAGAAAAAAGTGAGGAAAAGATGCAAACATAATCATTTTCCTTGTCCTCTGTCTGAAATGGAATTTAAAGAAGATATGAAATCTTCATCTTGGGTTTTTTTTTTTAAGTGGTAATATTTCCTCAAATAAAAAACAACGAAAGATCACTCTTATAAAACATGGAATTGTATATATACCTTCTAATTTCCACATTAATTTTCCACTGATCACAAAATAGGTAAAAAATTCAACACACTAAGAATTTTTGAATAGAATAAGTACAATGTTAAAATTCAAAACAAAGCTGGACATAGTGCTCACTCCTGTAATCCCAGCACTCAGGAGGCTGAGGCAGGAGGATTGCTGTGAGTTTGAGACCAGCCTGGGCTACATAGTGAGTTCCAGGTCAGTTTTAACTACATAGTGAGACCCGGTCTCAAAAAAAAACATTTCAAAACAAAATGACCAAGAGGGCCAGGGATTTAGCTTAGTGGTTCCAGCATCTGCCTCACAAGCACAAGGGCCACAGTTTGATCCCTGGTAAAAAAAAAAAAAAAAAAGAAAAGATTAAGTTAAAATAATGTTGCTTTAAACAAGTAAATAAATAAGCAAACAGGAAGGCAAGCAAGCTATCTTCCTCTCCAAATCTAAAATCCATTCTTAATCTTAAGTACCTCGGTAAAAGTTTACATTTAAAAAATTTTAAGAATTGAGTCAATACAGTAAGTGAATAAAACGCATTTATCTTTCATATAATAAGATGAAAATGCAATGAAGATTATCATGATAAACACATGAATGTGAGAATAAACAATGTTCTATACTGGCCATTATTTCATTTATATTATGTGTTACATACAAATAACTTTCTTCATATTCAAAAACCAATCTTAGCCGGGGATTTAGCTCAGTGTTTCAGTGTCCTGCCTTACAAGCGCAAGGACCCAAGTTCAATGCCCGGCACCAAAAAAAAACAAAAAAAACAATCTTAATCAATGCTCTGGAGATAGAATTGCTAATATACACTTTGTCTGGGTTTATAATTTCCTTTACGATAAAGTGCTAACATAACTATCAAAAGTCTGAGAGAGTTAAACATTAATAAAGTGCAAACAGGAAAGGAGTCCACAGACCTTATAGTTTCTATAGCTTCAGAATGCACAGTATGAAAGCTAAATTGTAAGCTGAACTAACAAAAATTCAAATTCAAGTGGCTATTATTTGTCATGTCTCTAAGTAATAACTAATACTAAATTATTCTATTTTGTGATTATTCTTTTTCTCCCCAAGTTTGAGAGATAATGAGTAGTACTCTGGCTTCCAAATAAAACATACAATTAGATGGGCCACTGTACAACTACACAAGAATAATTCTAAAGATTATGTGGAAGACACAGAAAACAAGGTCAGAGGAAAGAGAAGGAAAAATGAAAAAACACAAACTCAGAAAGGTTTTGATATGCTTGCTGCCCAAGAACTTACTTACAAAGAAATTAGTATCAAAGCTGAGACTTCATGTGCCAAGAATGTTTTTATCTAAAACATTCTAATAAAAAATTATAATGTTCTTATTTGGGGATAAATATTAGCAAATATGACTTTAACAATAAAAAAACATATACATATACTCCTCTAATACTATTTTAATAAGCAGCCAACTAATGAAATAGTTATTGCCAAATTCTGTCCCTGAATTGGTTCTCTAATAAAATAACGAGGAATGTTCTGCCACTAAAAGTAATCTCAGTTTATGAGAAAAAAATGTTAGTGCGTGGCAGTTTCTAAATAATTTTCACCCGAAGTTTTTACCAACATGGCACAATTACTGATTTTCTTTGAGGGTAGAAATACATAAAGTCATGAGATATTATTAGAGAAAAATTTTTAAATGACAAATCACAGTTTTGCTTAATTTAACAGCTAGTTTAGCTTACAGAAATATGTATGTTATTTTATAGCAAAATAAAAATTTAATTCTATTATTTACAAAACAAGGTTTCTAAAATTAAACATAACATTTTATGCTACTCTGCAATAAGAATGACAAGTTTTTTACTGCTTAAACTAGTTTTAAATACAGCTAAATAAAGCAATAATTACAGAGAACAATAAAAATATTTTTATAAAAATTTATCATTAGAATATTATTATTACTACTATTGGTATTTTCTTACCAATAGTAATAGTTGTCTTGTAAGCACAAACAATTTGCTAGGCATTTTGTTCAATTTTTCTTTTTCTCTTTTTAAATATACATGAAGCAGGATGCGATAGTACACAACTGTAATCCCAGCCCTAGAAAGGCTGAGGCAGATGGAGCAGCGCCAGCTCAAGGCCAGCATGAAGTATATAGCGAGGCCATCTCAAAAGAAAGAAAGAAATTAATTATGAGGGTCTTTCCCCATTTTATAGATGAACAGATGGAAGATCAAAATGATGAAGACACTTGGCTGATGTCACATATGAGTGACGAACCTGGGAATAACCTGGGAGCCAAGGTTAACTCTAGCACATTACTGTGCTCCACACTCCTCCATTTAGCTTTGCAGATTCATACGCAGTATTTTTTTTTAACCTTTTCAATCTATTTTAGAAAAAATGGTATTGCTTCTTTTAATAGTCTGCTACCATAAAAGTTTTTTTCATCCCAGCAGTTCTTTTTCCCTGACACCATTTTATGGACTTAATTAATTTCTGCCATTCACCTGTGCAGAAGAAACAGGTAACTGACCACATTTAATAGTCACACAATTTTCTGTTGTAATTATTTAATAACTGGACTTCTCGTAACATTTTAACATACCTAAAAACGCCTTTTCAAAGTTGAAAAGAATAACCTCAACATATTCACAACAGAAAAATCCTTTTTAAAAAAGTAAACAATCTCTATACTGTGGCTTTTCATCTAGTCATCTTAATCACAGCAGGAAAAATAACACTGTTAATTTTCTATTTCTACTGAATTCCAGTATCAAGTCATGATGGTCACTAAAGGATATTTTAAATTTCAGATTTAAATTGGCTATGAGAATTCACAAGCATCTGCAAATATAGTATTTTTCTTTCGACGTTTTCCATCTCCAGTCTCACATGGATGAAGAAGCTCCAGAGACTTCTGCAATGTGAAGTAAACATGACCAAGACACGAAAGGAGTAAAGAAAACCACGCAAAAGGAAAATAATTTCAAGTAAAACATTAGAAAATTTTTGCTAGCTGTAGAAAGTGGTTAAGTCAGTACTATTTGAAAAAGACAAGAATAAACAGTATTTTCAGCTGAAAAAAGAAGAAAACAGCACATGTATAGTAATCCAAGATTTGGAAAATGAATGTAGGAAAGAAAGAATAGTAATTTGTTTCTTTGCTGAGGAAGGAAAAAATTTTGAAAGAAAGTTTGAAACAAGACAAAGACAAAATGTTAGAGTATACAGACTTCAGGCATAAGTACAATTAAATTTTATTATATTCTGTAACTGAGCCCCCTTTCAAAAAAAACAAATGTTTTAAATCCTTTATTTTTCTATCTCATTTTTTGAGAGCATACAGATACCAGGAACTATTTTATGACACACAAAAAGGCAAAATTTCATCCTTAGTTCCACCATGCTACAAATGATTAAATATAAGGAAAGCATGAAATTCAATAATGAAAATCAAATTCACAAGGGAGAGGAAAACAGAAAATCATATTTCGAGGTACAAAATACTCCCTTTACAGCTGTTATAAAGCTTTTGGTTTCTCACATATGTATGTCCTTACCTTCCAGAGACTTAAGTACCATGAAGTATGAATTCTACCAGGAATCAAGAGGATACATTCAAACCTTTTTCATTTGCTAGTGATACTTGGAAATTTAACTCATGCTTCAGGAGGTATTCGAACCACAACTCTTTTCAAAGAATCTCAATCAACAGTTTGGTAAGGAACACAGTCCCCAGCTATCAAGTAGTCAAGAAAGGTGCATCTACCTTTACCTAAATATTGCAAGCACCTCTACTTCTGTGAAGAAAACCAGCTCAATGAGTGTTTAAAAGAATGGTTATGAAAAATTTTAAGCCCTAAAGGTGTGCCCTGGTCTCCACAAACAAAATCCCAGTAAACGTAAATCCCTCCCAGAAACTGAGAATACAAGGTTCTTTGATCTGTTACCAATTCTACAGAGCTTCCTTTAAACAACAGAAAGTAGCCTTAAACATATAAAATCAGGAACACCTACAACGAAGATATAAAGACAATGAGAAGAAAGTCAAATTGGTATGGAAATACTGATTTACAAGTTAATTCCTTTGCCTGTTTACTGAGTTGCTATGTGCCAGCCCACATAGTGGGCTCTGGGTTTGCTGGTTTGAGACAGATAGCAACATGGCTGAATGGCCAAAAATACAGAGTACAGAGTAACAAAGACCTTGGTAAGAATCCCACAGCTGCTATTTGTAATCTATGGTCACTTGGACACAATACTTGACCCTTCAAAGTCAAGGTTTTATCATCTGTATAATGAGACTGGTACACTATTTAAGCTAATCACACCATATGAGACTACATCTAAAGCAATCAGATAGGGCCGGGGATTTAGCTCAGCGGTTCAGTGGCTTGCCTTGCAGGCGCAAGGACACGAGTTCAATTCCCAGTACCAAAAAAT